GGCATTCTGTGGCTTCTATTTGTGTGGAGGGCATGGTGTCTGTGTAGTTTTATTTGTTTTTCTTATTGTTCTGTATTGTTTGTAGAAGATATATTGGGAGATGCAAATCTAGGCAGCCACTACCTATCTATCTGGAAGCTCTTGGGCAAGTTTTTAACTCTCTGAGCTTAGTTTCCTCATATGTAAAATGGGGATAATAATTATACCTACTTGATAGACATTTCATGAGTATTAAATAAGATAATATTTATCATAAAGTATTAGAACAATTCCTGTCACATAAGTGCTGAAAAATGGTTAGTTGCTGTTGTTATCATTATGTGTGGATGCAATATCTGCTTGAATACTACTGTGGTTACTGCTTTGGAAGTAAAAGACCTGATTCTATCTAAAGTTGACCCCTCCATAGTGCTGTGTATCTCATCTGCTTCTGCCTTTTCATGGACTGTACTCTTGTAGCCATGCTTTAGCTCCTGCATCATCTGTTCTTCCATTTTTACTGACTTCTGTTGTCATGCAAACAAGCCTAAGTAAAACCCATCTTTAAAAAAATCTTCCATTGACCTGTTTCCCCCTTGCACTCTCTACACTATTTCTCTGCTCCCTGTCATAGTAGAACTGTTGTAAAGGGTTGCCTACACTGGTTGTCTCCATTTTCACATCTCCCATTCTCTCCCTAAGCCACTCTTGTATGACCATTTATCCCCTACTCCTCTCCTGAAATGGTCTTACCAATGTTATTTTTTTTGTGAGGAAGATCAGCCCTGAGCTAACATCCGTGCTAATCCTCCTCTTTTTGCTGAGGAACACCGGCTCTGAGCTAACATCTATTGCCAATCCTCCTCCTTTTTTCCCCCAAAGCCCCTGTAGGTAGTTGTATGTCATAGTTGCACATCCTTCTAGTTGCTGTATGTGGGATGCGGCCTCAGCATGGCCGGAGAAGCGGTGCGTCGGTGTGCGCCCGGGATGCGAACCCGGGCCGCCAGTAGCGGAGTGCGCGCACTTAACTGCTAAGCCACAGGGCTGGCCCTTACCAATGTTATTCTTGATTTATGTCTTTTCAAATCCAAGCATTACTTCTCTGGCCTGACCTGGTGAATTACTTGCTTTTTTTGTTATTGGTGTTTTAAAATTATTATGAAATACTTCAGACATAAAAAAGTAGTAAAAATAAGGTAATGAACCTGTGTATTTGCCATCTAGCTTAAAGAGTGAAAATTATCCATTCAGTTGAAGCCCCAGTATACTTTCCCAATTGTAGCCACTCTTGTGCTCCCAGATGTAGCCACTATACTGAATTGGTATTTATTGTTACCCCACTTTTTTTGTACCCTTGCTACATATGTGTTTTCCTATATCGTATGTAGTTGTTTCTCCTATTTTTGACCCTCATATTAAAAAGATTATTCTTAAATGTCTTCTCGTGTAACTTGCTTTTTTTATTCAACATTTTGTTACGAGAATCATTCATGTTGCTGTTGCGTTGCCCTAGAATGTTTATTTTCATTACAGTATAGTGTTCCATTGTATGAATAGAGTACAATTTATCCATTATCTTGTAGTTGGACACTTAAGTTGTTTCACTTTTAAGTGGTACAAACAGTCCTTCTAGGAACACTCTCATAGGTATCTCCGTATATGTATGTTTCTGTTTGGTAATACCTAGAAGTAAAACTTCCTGGGTCATAATGTATCTAAGTAGACTCTTCTTTTGAAACACATTGTTCTAGGCTTCCATGATGCTACACTTGTCTGGTTTTCATCTTATTTCACAGGCCAGGCCTTCTCAGTCTCATTTTTGGATCCTCATTCTCTATTATACTGTATGATAGTGTCCTAGAGCTTTGTCTGGCTCTCTTCTCTATAGTCCCAGCTTCTAGCTCTGATCTACTCTAATTTATCCTCCATGTTGATCCCAGGATGATCTTTATCAAATGCAATCTGATCATGCCACTGCTTTGCTTAAAGTCCTTCAGAGGCCCCTTACTGCCTCCAAAGTCCAAGTTCTGTGTCATGGACAAAACAATTAAGGATTATGTATATCAACTCCTCCCTCTTTAGAGGATCCTGAAGACCATCTCTCCAGCAGGCAGGACCTTTGTTCACACTATTTCCTCTCTTCACAGTTTTCTTTCCCCTCACTCCTTACATGCCTGGTAAACTTTTGCTTATTTTAAAAGATGACTCAAATGTCCCCCTTTTAGGAAAGTCTTCCCTGACACATTCAGGCAGAAATGAGAAATTGCTTCTCTATGCTCTCCTGGCACTTTGTTTCTTATTTCCATTGTAATACTTGATTCATTTAGCCAACAAATATTAATTGATTGCCAGCTATATGCTAAAAACTGTTGTAGAAATTGGTGATAAAAAAGTAAACCAAATAGACAAGGTCTTTTTTTCCAAGGAGTCTACATTCCAGGGGGTAGGAAAGAGAAAAAACAGGTAGAAAAAACAGGTAAACAAACAGTATTATTTTAGATAGTGATAAGTGTTACTATGAAAAAATAAAAGCAGACAGTATGGCAGTGTGCTGGAGAGTGCGTGGGAGGAGTAGGAGGTGGGGGATGAGTGTGACACTTCAGATTGAGTGAGAAGTTGTTTGAGTTGAGACCTGAAAGATAAGAAGGAGCCAGCCATGCAGAGATCTGAAAGAACATTCCAGGCAAAAGGAACAGCAAGTACAAAGGGCCTGGAGCTAGACTGAGTTTGGCATGTTTACAGAACAGAAAGAAGGCCAGTGAGGCAGGAGCATGACGAGCAGAGGAAGGGGTGCTGTACGTAATAAAATTCAAGAAGTAGACAGGGCCAGATCAGGTAGGGCCTTCTAGGTAAGATCTGTCAATTTTATTTTAAGTGTAATGGGAAGCCATTGGAAGATTTTAAGTGAGAGGGTGACCTGATCTGATTTATGTCTAGAATTATCACTCTGACTGAGATGAGGAGAGTTATAGGGGGACAAGAGTGAGAACAGAGACCAGTTAGGAGTTGTTACCTAGTGCATGTGGAACACGTTGATAGCTTGGATGACTGTGGTATTTGTAGTGTCCATGGAAAGAAGAGGAGTGACTTGGGATATATTTTGGAGGTAGGCTGATGAGACTTGCTGATGGATTGGTAGTGTTGGTTTTAAGGAGGAATGAAATCAAGAAAAGGACCCCTCAACTTTTCTTGAGTAACTGGGTGGATGGTGGTACCATATACTGACCTGTCGCTACCTAGTGGTGGTGGTGGCAGTGAGGAGAAAGTTCTGTGGTGGAGGAATCATAAGTTGTTTTAGATATTTTAAGTTGGATATGCCTCTTAAAGTGTGGATGGCAAGAAGGCAGTTGGATATATGGCTCTGAAGGTCGGGGATTGTCTTAGTCTGTTTGGGTTGCTATAAAAAATTCCCATAGACTGGGTGGCTTAAACAACAAACATTTGTTTCTCACAGTTCTGGAGGCTGGAAGTCGGAGATCAGGGTGCCAGCCTGGTTGGGTTCTGGTGAGGCCCCTTTTCCAGATTGCAGACAGCCAGCTTCTCCTTATATCTTCACATGGCAGAAAGAGGGTGAGGGAGCTCTCTGGCCTCTTTTTAAGAGAACACTAATTAGGCTTCACCCTCATGATTTAATTACCTCCCAAAGGCCCCACCTCAAATACCATCACATTGGGATTAGGTGTCAACATGTGAATTTTGGCGGGACACAAACATTCAGTCCATAACAGGGATGGAGATAGGTAACTTGGGGAGTCACCAACTTATTGATTATATTTTAAAACTATGAGACTGAGTAAACTAACCAAGAGCTTGAGTGTAGATGGGGAGAGAAGGCCAAGAGTAGAGCTTCAGACACTGCGGTGTTTAGAGAATGAGAGGTAGGGAGATAAGAGGGAGTCATAGAAGACAGTAGAAGGGAGTGTTGATTGTGTCACGCTGCTTAGAGTTAGAATACGATGAAGGCACAGGCGTGCGCACTGGATTTGACTTCCTGCAGGTCTCTGTGACCATGGTAAGAGCACCTTGGGCATTCCAGTAGCCAGAAAGGGGAACTTAGCTCATTACTTTAATTAACTGCTCACCTATCTGTCTTCTAGCGTGTACCAGTCCTGTTTCTTTCTGGGGCTTACCATATGGTAGATGGTGAATGAATGTTTGTCTACTGGTTTGAGTTTTACAATGCAGTTTAAGGAATCGTATACTATTTTGCCCTCATTTAGAATGCATTTAGACCACTGACCCACCAGTTTGTATCAGTTCAAGGAATATAATCACATGAATAATGACTTAAAATACAATGAGAGAGGTGAATCCAATTTCATAGAGGTGCACGGTGCATCCTGAAGCCATTGTGCTATAGTGAAAAAGCGCCTCGCTTTGGATTTGGAAGGCCTGCCTCGGTTCTGCTTCACTCCTTGCCCTGCTGGAAGTGTCAGGGGGCATGTCCCCACACTGTCTGGATTGCAGTTCCTCAGCTGTCGTATGTGGATAATATTAACAAATTCCTCTTACAGGATTTTTGTGCGCAGCAAATGATCTAATGCACATGAGAGTCCTTTGTAAGTAAAAAGATACTCTGTAAGTGCTATTTTTGTAAAAATAATTGGATTATCCATTTCATTACTGACGTATAAAGTAGATTAGATCAGAGTCTCATGAAATTCATATTTAGGCAGTGGCATCTGAGTGACAAGTTGAAGGAGGACACAGATCACTGGAAAATGCGATGCTTTTCCAGAAATATATAGGAAATTAATTTCTTTCAGCTTTGTTCCTTTATCTTTCCCAGATAAATTTAATCATGCTGTTAGAACCAAAGAGTAGACTTTTTTACTTGAAGGTCTAGTAATTGAATCTTGCTAGTGGTCTGTTTATCCCAGTGTTACATTTATCTGAAAGAATAAAATGTAGTTAGTATTGATTCTGGTTTTTTCTTTTCTATTTTTTTTTAGTGAATACATTGATTAACTCAATTTGGCAAATTTTCCTCAAGGTGATTACTCATTTCATTTTACTTCTAGGGTAAAAATCATGGTAAGAAACTCCGAAATTACTATGCAGCGAACAGCTGTCCCCCCCCTGCCCGGGTGAGCAGTGCCGTGGCAGCTGTGGCCGCCCCCGCTGCTCCAGTCCCTCCGCAGGTGAGACACGCGTATATGGGTGGAAGCTGTCCTATGCGCAGGTGGTCATGGGTGAAGTTGGTGGTCCATGGGCCCATCAGGGTATATAAATACTCCTGAAAGATTTTACTTGGTGCTTTTAACTCCTTGAACTATCGTTCTGGATTTAATGCATGCCAAGATCCATGAACCTTGAGATTTCTCATTGGCTTCGGTTGTGATGCATCAAATAATGAAAGAGAATTGTTTCATGAATCTTGATGCATTTCTCAAAATTCTAGGTTAAATGACCCTGAGTGTCTAGGCTAAGCCCTGAATGAAAAGAGAGATGTTTAAACATTTATATCTTTATTGCAGTTAATCCCATTTACTTTGTATTTTGCCGTCCAGCAAGATCAGTTTCTTGAGGTTGCCCTTTTCCTACCTCTTGCAGGCAGAGAGCCTGCGTAAGCTCTCTCTGGACTTTGGTATATGACACACACTTGAAAGCCAAGTTCCTTTCACTCTAGAAGATAGAGCAGGTGTTTTAGGCAAGATAGTCCTGCACTTTAATAGCCTCTGAAATATGGATTCTACTCCTTACCCTGTCTTTAAAGTATTGTCTGTCCATAGAACAATACAATGGTCGTAAATAATAACTTTAATTGAGTACTTAACTATGCCAGGCACTCTGCTAAACACTTTTCATGCATTACTTCATTCGGGGCTGGAACTGGGGTGAGGTGAGGGATGCCCTTGACTTAGGCATAAAATTTAAGAAGGAGTCAAAAACCCAGTCATCAAGATAAATATTTTAATGTGATATTTAAACAATTCAAAATTAATGTGAAAAAATCAATGGTGAGCAAAACATCAAAAGCTTACAGACAGGTATTGCTGATTTTCCGTCTGCCTCAGGCTGCAGTGTGGCTTGGCATGGCACTGTTACTGATCCTGTCTTTATTTAAAATTTTGATATTTTGTTTTCATTGATTTTTTTTGCATTAGGTTGGATTTGTAAAAATATTCCATTAAAATATTACTTATCTTGATTGCTGAGTTTTTTGATGCTTCCTTAAATCTTGTGCCCATGGCCACGTGCCCGTTTTCCTCATTCTAGTCCTGGGCCCTGATTCCATTTAAAGCTCACAACGACTTAGAGCTATTGGCTTTATTACTCAGTGTAGTCCATGGGCCAACAGCATCAGTCGCACCTGGAAGTTCATTAGAAGCTCAGGTAAGCTAAGTAACTTGTCCACGGTGTTACACGTTTTATAAAGTGGTGGAACAAGAATTTCTTTCTATGTTAGACCTCTACTCCTAACCAGCACTGTATAATTTTATTTTTCTGACTGTCAGTTTTCTAGTACTTCAAGTTTGGATAGCAATACCAGCTGTTCCTCTATCCTCATGGATTTGTAGGGTAAATGAGATGTGTTAAAACAGTCAATCAGAGGGCAGGAAAATACTCAGAGAGTTTCAGGTGGAGTGGTTGTCACAGAATTAATTCCTGAAGGCTGCTCTAGAGCTGGAGGGCTGCTCCCTGTCGGGACTGTTTTCAGCTGGCTCTGTCCTCCTGGGCAAACTGCCTTAGCCTTCTTTCATAGCATAACACTTTGTGGTTCTTGAAGACAGCTGTCTTGTCCCCAGAAAATCTTCCCTTCCAGGTGAAACAGTGTTATTTCCTTTAGCTGGTCCTGATATGATATGCTTGCTAGACTCTTTCTTGTGTGTAGTATTATCCTCTAGCCAAAATCTAGTTTGTCATTTTTTGTTAACCCAACAATATTTATTGAGTGTATACTATCTTCTAGGCACTCTGTTAGGTTTCTCTTAATTTGTTGTTTCCTAACCTGAGTACGATGGTCTGGATCTGCTGGTGATTTTTCTCTAATTCTATTATATCTGTAGCTAATTTGTAGACTCTCTGAGGGCAGGGGCTCGTTTTTTAATATATGTCTATATCCCTCTGTATTAGGTAGCAAGCCCGGTAAACAGTAGGCATTCAGTAAATGCTTGTTGGTGGATTCTGGGCAGACTTTACCCTTTCTGGTAATGTGATGTTAGGCCTTACGTTTACTGCCCTAAATCTTCCATGGTGGGTTTTTAAACTTCTTTTTTAAAAATTTCTTCAATGGAGATAGCAGTGAGCCATTCATCGGTATGATACGTAGGTGATTGTCATGCAGAACCATGATTAAGTGTCTCCTAGCCTGCCTGCCTGCTGTCCTTCCTTCTTTTCTTCCTTCCTCCCTCCCTCCCTCCCTTTCTTTCTTTCATTTTCTTTTCTTTTTCTGGAATGAATTAGTTCCTCTCCTTATAGCTGAGTGCTTGTGGTTGTGCTATAACCTTGAGTTATTTTTCGACTCTTAGAAGGAACTTTGAGGAGAAGGAGGGAATAAACTCCACGTTTTTTTAACCTTGTTTCTTGTGTCTTTGATGTCAGATGGGCTCCTTCAAGCCGGGAGGCAGAGTGATCCTGGCCACAGAGAACGATTACTGTAAGCTCTGTGATGCCTCCTTCAGTTCCCCGGCTGTGGCTCAGGCTCACTATCAAGGGAAGAATCATGCCAAGAGGCTGCGGCTGGCAGAAGCTCAGAGTAACTCGTTCTCGTAGGTATTGCCGTTTTCTCTGAGGCCAAAGTGTTGTGTGAGACTGGCTGTCTTTAGAGAAAAAGAGTTGAAAGGGATCCTTGTTGAGAAGTCTCACTTTTAAAATTTCTTTTCTCTGGGCCAGCCCCGTGGCTTAGTGGTTAAGTGCGTGCGCTCCGCTGCTGGCGGCCCGGGTTTGGATCCCTGGCGCGCACCGACGCCCTGCTTCTCTGGCCATGCTGAGGCCACGTCCCACATACAGCAACTAGAAGGATGTGCAACTATGATATACAACTATCTACTGAGGCTTTGGGGAAAAAAAAAAGGAGGAGGATTGGCAATAGATGTTAGCTCAGAGCCAGTCTTCCTCAGCAAAAAGAGGAGGATTAGCATGGATTTGCTGAGGGTCGATCTTCCTCACACACACAAAATATACATATATATATAAAATTTCTTTTCTCCAGGGAATCCTCAGAGGCTGGTCAAAGGCGGACCCGGAAAGAAGGGAATGAATATAAGATGATGCCTAATAGGAGAAATATGTATGCAGTACAGAATAATTCAGGTACTCTGTGGACTTCCATATATCTTGGCTACATTCTGCAAATGGTCTTCTTTATTTTTATTTCCTTTAATGGTAATAGATAGCCCTGTGAATTTGGAGTTAGCTATTGTTTTGTTGCATTTGTCTAGTGGATTTTCAATCTGGTTTTTATTTCTGGTCATATTTATTTATTTCCCATTTAGTATATTATTTATGTTGATTTTAAACCATAGTCTATGTTTTAAGTTCTCTTATCATAGTACCTTTATGTTTCTTCTGGTATTTGCCAGCTGAGAAATGTAAAATGCATTATAAAAATGGGTTATTTGGTTTAAAGTTGCACCACGTTAAATTCCCGTTTACTGGAGAAAATAAAAAAGATTATAGCAGTGGTCTTTAACCAGGGTAGTGAATAAGAGTTACTTGGGGAGTTTTTATAAAATATACATGCCTAGACCATGACTTAGAGATTTTTAATCAGTAAATTTAGAGTGAGACACAGACGTGTGTGTTTTGAAAATGCTTCCCTCAGGGATTCTGATCTACACCTTCAGTTCAGAACTACTAGTTTATAGGAATGTTTTCTGCATTTTCTGATTATCTTCAGTAGGGAGAGTAGGACTGAGTAGTCCCTCATCCTCCCCTTGCCCCAGCCTCCAGTGCATACACATACCAGCACAGGTCATTCATGTGAACAGTAAAACAAGCAAAAAACAAAAAAAGTTACTTGGAAAGGCAAGAGAAGCATAGAAAAAAGGGACGTATAGAAAGCACAGTGTAATATGATTAATAAAAGTCTAAACGTATATCAGTAATTACAGTAAATGTAAATTTACTAAAGTCCCAGTTAAAAGACAAAGATTATAGGATTAGATGAAAGGAAGGAAGCTGAGATAGCTGTATTAATATTCGATAAAATAAACTTTAGGACAGAAGGCAGTTTAGACTATGTTCTGTGACCAGAGTACAATTTAATGAAATGTCAATAACAAAAATATAAAAAACCCACAAAATTTCTATTTGTTTGGAAATTTTAAAACACTTTTAAATAACTCATGGGTCAAAGAAAAAATCATACTGGAAATTAAAAATTCTTAGAACCAAACAGTGATAAAAATATATCAAAATTTGTAGGATGCAGTGAATGTAATATTTTGGGAAAAGCCTTAAATATTTATTATAGTAGGAGAGAAAAGCAGACAATTAATAAGTTAATGGTCCAACTTAAGAAGGCAGTTATATAAAAAGAACATAAAATTATCAGTAATTTCACCAATATTTTTGTATATGTCATTTAAATCTCTATATTACTTCTTTAAAATAGAAATGTGATCCTATTTTGTGATAGTATTGTTTCATTTAATAGCATATTTTATTCACATTCTCCTGTAATTAAAGAGTTTTCATTTTTAGTGACTGCATAGTTTTCCATTATTACTGTAATTTTTCAAATCATATTTTTGGATCTCTCCTTTCCCCACATCCACCTATAAAACCTTTTATAAACACTGATGAAATAAATGTCCTTGTTGATAAATCTTTATGCAAAAATTCTCAATATTTTCTTAGGACAAGTCTTAGAATTTTTAGATTAAAGAATTAGCATGATTATAAAACTTTTCATATAATGCTTGGAAATTAAATTACTTTTTAAATTGTATTCACTTTTTAGAGACATTGTCATTTAGAGTTTTGTTTTGGCTTTACAATAACCTTTCTGACAATAGTTAGAGGAATCATTTTAGCTTTTTAGATTGAACCTGTATAAAATTGTAATTTAAAAAAATCCATTAACTTCACATTCATTTAAAGCTAGGAATCTGTGAATTTTACAATTTGAACTTAGAATTACAAATTGCAGTGATAATTGATCAGACCGTCGTTATTCACTTAATGAATATTTTGAAGTGAGTGTATTACTTTTATCGCTTGCCTTAGCAGGTCCTTACTTCAATCCCCGCTCTCGGCAGAGAATTCCACGTGACCTGGCCATGTGTGTTACTCCAAGTGGCCAGTTTTACTGCTCAATGTGTAATGTTGGGGCTGGCGAAGAGATGGAATTCCGGCAGCATTTGGAGAGCAAGCAACATAAAAGCAAGGTGTCGGAACAGCGGTACAGGAGTGAGATGGAGAATCTGGGATATGTATAGTGATGGTCTGCAGGTAGAGCAGCTTGGCCTGCCTGTTGTTTGCCTTCTGTCAGCCTGCCCTGCTTGTGGTCCTTTTGATATGAGCACCTTCCTCCGCTTAATGTTAATACATGTAACCTGCAGTGGTACCATGAGATGTCAAAACTGGGGAGGGAAAAGAACGTGCTTCTTAGGTCATAATGCTTTTTCAGGTCAGTTGTGTTGAGCTACTAAAAGCATGTGACCTACCTACCCCATGAGAAATAACTTTTTTATCTTGACCACGATCTGGTCGACTAGTAGCCCGACTACTTAGAGCTTTAACTATTTAAAAATTTCATCTTCTTTTGCAACTTTAGTTTTATGTACTGTTAAGTAAAGAATTTTATTGCGTTCTCACTTCAGATCACCATAAAAACAGGTAGGCAGAGATTTCCGTTTCCCAAGGCTTCTTAGGAACCGCCACCTCAACTCAATGCCTTGTCATTAGGATTTAGTGCTGTAAACTGCATTACGGTCTTTCCCAGCACGCTTTTTCCCTTTATCATGTCCTCCCGTTATTGAAGTGCAGGTTTTCGTGGATTCAGACACTTCCGATGTGCTTGTGGACTTCCAAACAGCGAAAGTTCATTTCCAGTTGTGGATTTCCCACATTTAAATTCGACCTTCTTCCCTCCTCTTTTCTTCCCCCCCCCAATTGAATTAGCTTGTCTAATAAGCTCATTTTCATGCCCCAGCCATGTTGTGGGGTTTCCAAGCCCTGCATTTGAATATCCAATAAGTTTAAGATAGATACGATATTTTTTTAAAAAATATTTTTCAACAGGTTTTCGGAAATGTAAAGATGTATTTGATTTTTCAGTTTAGAGTTACTTCATTGATAATAACATGTATTTATATGATGGCCTCGATCATAAGTTCAGATCTCTTGGTATTTGTTTTGGCAGACTTTTTAGATAAACTGATCCTTACATTTTACTTAGATTCTTCTCTGTATTGCTAGTTTGTTGGCTGTCCTGAAAAATACCACTGCCTTACGTTTCATAGATAGAGAGGAATTAAAAAAAGTTAACCAAATTTCAGTATCATCATTTCTAGTAGAAAAATATGTGAACTTTGATTTCGTTCTTTATAATTCAGCTTCCTTGAAGATAATAGAAATACGTTATTGATTATTTTGGTATCTGATAATTACACAGTATTATTTTTGGTTTTTGTTTTTAAAATAAGAAGCTCTGGTGTATGTCTAGATTAACTAATGGAACACGTTTACGAACTTTCAGTAACTGTATTTTATCTGCTTACTATATTTACTTGGATAAGACCAGTGCTCATCCATACTCCTTTTGAAAGGCCACATTCACTAGTAAGTTTATATTGAGCAGTGTCTTTGTACTATGGTCAATTCACATTTGATTGCTTATATTACTAATTAAAAATAAAACTCCTGTTTTTCCTTGAGAATTCTACAGGCAAAGAGATGGAGAGAAGGAAAATTATAATCATCGTTCTTTTCCTTTAATATTTCTAAACAATTTTTGAACAATCTAGACCTATATTTAAAATTCAGTTTTGTGATTAACCTCTAGTACAAAATGAAGTCACTCTTCTGTTGAAGTGGTGGTTTTTTGAAAAGTAGAATTGTTTAGTAATTTTTTTTCTTCCAGAAACAGAAGCATGAAGTAGTGTTCTGTTGAGATTCTATCAAGACCTGTGACTCTTAATCTAAAAACCTTTTTTGCAGTAATCTATAAAGTTCAATTGACTAATTTAGGGCAATTTAGAGGTTATTTTATTGGTCAGTAGGTTATTCATTTTGCTGCTAAGTGTTATTTTTTGGTAGATTTTAATATTACAGTGCTGGCCACTTGGTTCTATGATTATTTAAAAATCTCATCTTTTTTTTCTCTCTCTTTCTGTGTGTGTATATATATACATACACACGGATATGTATGTGTATATATGTATGTATATACATATACACATACACGTATATATAAAACTATGTATATATAGTTTTATGTGATACCATAGAGAAGATTCCATTGAATCCTTATTTCAGATAATAGTAAAAGATTGTGGATAAGAATTTACATTTTGTAAAAGTGGCATTCATTCACTTTCAGTTTTTCCTTTGCAAATAAAATTAAATGAAGGGTTTCTCTCACTCTCCCCACTTAATTTCATTATATTTATACAAAAAGCAGTGGACTTAAGGCCTTGATATTTTTCCTGGCCTTGTGTATTCAGGTTTCCAGTCTCCTAGTGCCCTTAATGGATGTTAGGAATGCATAGACGCATCTTCTTTTAAAGAAAAAAGTTAGATTTATAGTGTTACTTCTTACTTGCTATATTTCTTTGCACTAAAAAAGAGCTATGTGTTTGTTTCATATGACACTTTAGATACCATATTGCCTACAATACTCGGTTTACTCCTTAATTTCCAAACTCTAGCAAGTTGATATGTTCCATGAAATGTTCCGATCATTTACAGTGGTTACATACACATTCCTCCCAAAGAATCACAGATACCTATGACAGCGGGTTGTGTTTTGGGGTTGTTACCTTGCAGTATTCTCCTGTGTTTCGTAGGTGAAACAAAGGGTGACAGAGGTTGTCAGAAAGGAAATGCCTAAGTAAATTCATCTCTGCATGGTACAATTTCTCATATTGATGCATTCCTGATAGATAGTGTTTTTTCCCTATTAAAGAAGGCTGTTGTTACTTCTGCAGTCAGTGATACGTGATCTCCGTTGGTTTCATTTTGTGAAGTCCAGTCCTGCTCTGTAATGTGCTTTAGGATCTGCACCCTGTGCTCCCCAGGAATCATGTTAGTATCTTTTTATATGCTGTATATAAGGACGGACAGAGGCCTAAACAACGGAAAACCTTCAGTTAAATAAAGTAGATTTCAGTGATCATTGGCAAGAAGAACTCAGAGCATCCAAGTCTCTTTGCTCTGTGAATATCTTCGTGTAAGTCGTCATTCAAAATCAATGTTAGAAGATAACAACTAGAGACTATTCTAAGATATTGAGGGCAAGAAGTTGTAAAGGAAAAATTCCATGTTCCAATTAAAAGATTGGATTGTATATGCCTTCGAAGTGTTTTTTTGAAAGGTTAAGCTACAAAACTGAGTGTGCCATGTAATCCTTTTGACTCGACACTGACCAGAAAATACTTTGTTGGTCTCATCTTTGTATATCATGTGCTGCAACTTGTAAATATGTGCATGTTGTTTGTTACGGTTGTTTGTCTGCTTGTCTGTTATTGCACTGAATTCTGCAAGGTGAATATTTTTTTATACCATTCATTTCAAAAAAGTTCCTTCTCCAACTCTTCCTCACTATCTGCTTTTCTAATTAGTTGGTAAACTTAGAAAACCATTTCAGATTTTTGAAACCCTGCGATTGAATGAAGGATTGTGGCTATCTGAGATCAACCTTATGTCCCTCTGACTTAAACAGCTAAAGGGAAGCATGAAATCTTCCGCTTTATTTTACAGAGCTGTTCTGCAAACCTAGTATACTTGCTCATAGCTATCTATCTACACTTCGAACAAGGATTAAAGGAGAAATATATATATATTTCATGTTTATATGTAAACACATATACAGTCATGATCCACATAATGATATTTTGGTCAACAATAGACTGCATATACGATGGTGGTCCCATAAGATTAGTGCCATATAGCCTAGGTGTGTAGTAGGCTATATATATAGGTTTGTGTACGTACACCCTATGATGTTCTCACAATGATGAAATCACCTAACAATGCATTTCTCAGAATGTATCCCTGTTGTTAAGTGACTCATGACTGTATATACATAAAAACATATATATTTGGTTAAATCTTCCTCTGTAGATAGATTTGAAGGATTAGCGGTGGAATTTATGATTCTTTCACTCCTGAGTTGGCTGGGAGTATGAGCAATGACAGCTTGAGGACTGTCCAGTGACCTATGTAAAACGAGTCTCACTTGTGTCAGGGGAGACCTAACTGTTCGGCACAGTGTCCTCTACAGAGAGGCCTGGGGATGGTGGATTTGGAACCTAATCTCTCTTGTTTCCTTAACGTCAGACCTTAGACTGAAAGTACCCTCTAAAGCACTTGGTGAGTCGTATACTAAGGACAATACAGCTGCTTTAGAAATAGAGAAATGTTTTGTCAGTATAGGCAAAAATTTAATGCAGGCTTTTGAATAGATGTTTAAAAAATAGTCTACCTTAACCACTATTTTTTTTTTTTTTTACCAGCCAGTTTAGGAGTTGCATACATAATATTGAGTGTTTTGTTGTTGCTTTGGTTTTTTTGGCAGTGGACCCCTAACATTGTGAGCTGTTACTATCAATCTATCTGAATGGACACATAGCTGTGTAAATAGCTTCTCATATGACATTTCTACTGATAGCTGTTGGACTTTTTCTTCCCATTATGAATGGGAGAATCATTTGTAAACTCCCTTTCTGGGTAGCTACCAAAAAAAATACTGGCTTATGGTCCTATGGGACCCTGTCTCCGTTAAGCCCAGAATATGAGTGCCTTTAGCAAGTTTTAGCATTTCACAGAGAGAAGAGCTGATAGAATTATTGCCATTAATTGCAATGCATAAAACAGGAGCTTGGAATAGCGAAGGTTTGTGTGAATTCTGTGTTCCACGTCTTTTTTTTTCTTAATGCTGTCTCAATTTGATAGAGTAAAACTGTGTCATTATTGATTAGGAATTATACACCCTGAAGATGAGTCCCATTGTCCCGGGCTGGCAACAGTCACAGATTATTTTTCACCTTGATCTGTGTTACATTTATATGTATTGACGAGTAGTGTGGTGGGTTGGGAAGAGCTTGATACTGCTGTTTGGAAAAACTTTATTCCCGTGGTCTTTTCCAAACTTGTCTGTTCTGTAGAGAGGAGAGAATTATGTATTTGCAAATGAAGTGTGTGAAGAGACTGCCTTGCACAATACTTATTGTGTTAGTTCATCTCTATGTTAAAAAAAGGCATCTTCACATCAGGTTTGAGGTCTTTTAAAGCAAAATTTTTCCATCCTCAATTAATTTAAAATTCTAAGTTGTCTGAGTACTTTGAGTCTTTAAAACACCCTGCTAAATTAGTTTTATTATAGAAATATTAACATTTTCCTCAACGCTTTTTAGTGTGAAAAATTTCAAACACCCATCAGAGTTGAAAAAAATTTCACAATATATCTACCACTAGATTCTACCATCAACATTTTACTATGCTTGTATTACCATGTATCTGTCCATTTCTCTATTCATCCATCAATCCATGGAGTTTTTATTTTTAATATACATTTTGATGTAAATTTCAGACAATACATTTCCCTTAAAACATTTCAGCATAGGTGTCGTTAACTGGAGTTTAATATTTGTTTAAGCATTATCTTAAAAAGCAGTGTATGAAGTTGATAACCTGAGCCAATTAACGTACAGTTTTTTCTCGTGTGGACTTTAGCCTTCCAGTTTCTTTTTTTGTATGTGCTTAGAGGGAGGGAAGACAGCTTTTCAAACTGAAGTTTTCTGGTGTTGGTCATTTTAATTGCTTAGTTGTAATACATTTTCAAGTTTCATGGTAAGAATTCTTTCTTTACCCCTTTTCTTGTGATGTATTTTTGCTGAACTATGCAGCTTCTTTAAGAAACTGTAAATTACTGATTGGGGTTTATTAAATAAGCTTATACCTCATTTCAACCTACTGCTGCTTTTCTCCATGTTATCACATCTCCTTTCACGACTGTCACCTGTTCTGCCAGAAAGTAGAGAGGAGCAAAGAGTCAAGCCCATAGATGGTTAGCTGTTTTAAACAACTCTAGAAGAACAGATTAAGTAGTTTAGGAAGTTGAAACCATTCATTTATCCAAAGCCTTTGAATTCCATGTGAATTGTAATTGTCCATGCGTCCTCTAGCCATAATTAGCAGGATTAAAAATGATTGTACTGTACAATGAGTTGTTGAAATTGTGAGCCTTAGTAACCATCTTTAGCTTTATTCTAGTACTGTTTAGAAAAATCATTTTGACATATGCCTTTATTTTTATGTCAATTTTTTGTGGAGAAAATTGGAAGAATTTAAGCGACTTGCTCCAGGTCGTGAAGATTCAATGCATAAGTCAGAATTGAAACTTCAATATTCCTGATTCATATTCTTGTGCTTGTTTGTTCATATTCCTGGCTTCTGAAATAACTGAACACTTCCTTTGGAGCCCTTGAAATGAAAATATGTATTTTTACTAATTAGACTTTCATTTTTAGGCATTTTTTGATTCTTTGAACTTAAGGATTTTTTTCATGGTCATGTTCCTCATTAAGCCAAGCAGTTGTAAAAATTTCACTTCGCTGTTGAATACTAATAACGCAGGTTTCATCAGATTTCTTTTTGTATTTAAATGACCTTCATGATTCACTCAATTCTCTTTCTATGTAAGTGCTTAAGTGACCCCCTCACTAGTGAAAACAAAGGTTCTCTATCACTGATTACATATATATTCTCTACATGATATATTTTTTTAAGTAAAAGTAACCCCATGTGTCAGGACGAATGATATTATCCTAGGGCAAAGCACATATAAAGTTTATTTCTATTCTGCAAATCTGGCATTTCTGGGAACAAAACTCTTTTAGAGTGGCTGGTCGTTGTTTTGCCTTCTTTTGGTACTTGAGTACCTTTCTGTGGTTTTGTAAATCAGTGTGTCATTTTGTAAGAATGTCATATTGATTCTGTGTTCGTTGGTGTTCACCTTGTGCTATCCTTGGCTCACCATGATCCTTTGGTCTGGGTATGATGTGTCTGCTTTGAAATGCCTTACTAGAGATGTCAGATCCTGCTCTAACGCATTCCCT